TTCATGAGGGATCTGCCCCCCAAACCCAAACACAGCCTAGTAGGCCCCACCTCTCAATATTGCCAGGTTGGGGATCAAATTTCAACATTAGTTTGCACGGGGACAAACAAACCATATCTAAATTATAGCCAGGAGCTATAACAAAATATCACAGACTGGGTGGCTTAAACAACAGAAATCTGTTTCTCACAGTCCTGGAGGCTGGAAGTCTGAGATCAAGATGTCAGCAAGTTTAGTTTCTCCTGAAGACTCTCTCTTTGGTTTATGGAAGGCCACCTTCTTGCTGAGTCCTCAATGGTCTTTCCTCTGTGTACAGGTTTCTCTGTCCTAATAGCCTCTTCTTACAAGAAGACAAGCCAGATTAGATTAAAGCCCACACTAGTTGCCTCATTTTAACATAATTGCCTTTTTAAAAAGCCTATCTCCAAATACAGTCATGTTTTGATGTACTGGGTGTTAGAGTTTTGACATAAAAATATTGAATAATGAGTGTATGTGAGTTTATTGTACTATCTATACCCTTTGATTTTGTGTATGTATAAAAATGTATATTAAATACAGCAACATTTCAGAGGAGGACATAAAAGTGCTGAACAGATAAACATGCACAGCATGCCCCATAAATAGGCACCATCTGGGAGATATCAGTTATCCCTAAGCAAATTTATAATTTTAACATATCTCAGTAAATATGCCAACATTTGTTTCCTGGAACTGAATAAGCATATGTAGAAAAATAAGTAAACAAGAATAGTCAGGAAAATTCTGTAAAAAGAAGAGTAACGGGATGTGGAGCAGTCTTACTGGATATTAAAACATATTCTAGAGCCTCAAATATTAAAACAATGTGATGTTTGTGCATAACTGGAAGAGAATAAAAATCCCAAAATAGACCCAAGTGCATAAGACAATTTAATATATAACAAAAGCAGCTTCTCAAATCAATGGAGGTAGAAATAAACTTTCTGATCAATATTAGGACAAGCGGGAAATCATTTCAAAAAAGATTAAATGGAATTTATACCTCACACCACACATCAGGATAAAATTCAAATAGATAAAAGATTTAAATTTTTTAAAAAAGCACTAAAAAAAGCCTTGAAGTGGATGCCTTCCTAATTGTGACTCAAAATCCAGAGGCCATTTTAGAAAATGATTGACAAATTGTGCTACACACAGAAGAAAAACTCATGGCAAACACACACACACACACACACACACACACACACACACACACACACACACCATGAGACCATAAGCAATGTCAAAAGACAAAGGACAAATAGGGAAAATATTTGTAACTCATATCACAACCAAAGGACTATACTAATTTCCCTAATTTTTAAAGAGTTTCTAGAAATCTGTGAGAAAAGACAATAAACCAATATTTTTGAAGGGAGACATAAAAGAAAATAATTTTCAGCATGAACAGACAACCTACAGAATGGGAGAAAATATTTGCAAACTATGCATCCAACAGGGGATTGATATTTAGAATTTACAAGGAACTCAAACAATTTCACACACACACACACACACACACACACACACACACACACACAAACATCAAAAAGTGGGGAAAGGACGTGAATAGACATTTTCCAAAGGAAAACATATAAATGGCCAACTAGCATATGAAAAAATGCTCAACATCACTAATCATCAGAGAAATGCACGTTAAAACCACAGTGAGCTATCATCTTATAGTAATCAGAATAACTATCATTAAGAAGTCAAAAAGAAGAAAAACTCATGGCAAACACACACACACCCATAAGACCATAAGCAATGTCAAAAGACAAAGGACAAATAGGAAAAATATTTGTAACTCATGTCACAACCAAACTGTAAAAAACACAGTTGTCAGTGAGGATGCAGAGAAAAGGGAGTGCTTGTCCACTGTTGGAGGGAATGTAAACCAGTACAACCACTATGGAAAACAGTATGAACATTTTTTCAAAAAACTAAAAATAGAACTACCCTTCAATCCAGCAATCCCACTACTGAGTATCTATCCCAAGGAATTGAAATCATTATATTTTTAAAAGATACCTGGGCCGAGTGCAGTGGCTGCAGCCTGTAATCCCAGCACTTTGGGAGGCCAAGGCGGGTGGATCACGAGGTTAAGAGATGGAGACCATCCTGGTCAACATGGTGAAACCCCGTCTCTACTAAAAATACAAAACATTAGCTGGGCATGGTGGCACGTGCCTGTAATCCCAGCTACTCAGGAGGCTGAGGCAGGAGAATTACCTGAACCCGGGAGGCGGAGGTTGCGGTGAGCCGAGATCGCACCATTGCACTCCAGCCTGGGTAACAAGAGTGAAACTCGGTCTCAAAAACAAACAAACAAACAAACAAACAAAAACCCTGCACCTATCTGTTTATGGCAGCACTATTCACAATAGCAAAGATACAGAATCAACCTAAATGTTCATCAACAGATGACTGGATAAAGAAAATGTGGTATGTATACACAGTGGAGTACTATTCAGCCACAAAATACAGTGAAACGTGTCTCTTGCAGCAACATGGATGGAAATGGAAGCCACTATCTTAAGGGAAACAACCCAGAAACAGAAAGTCAAATGCCACATGTTCTCACTTATAAGCTAAATAATGTGTGCATACAGACACAGAGGGTGGAATGATGGACACTGGAGAGTCAGAAAGGTGAGAGGATGGGAAGGGGGTGGATAGTGACAAATCACTTAACCACTACAATTAATTACTTAACCAGTACGTTATTTGGGTGATGGACACAATAAAAGCATAGACTTCTCCAGTATTCAATATATATATCCAGATAACAAAATTGCATTTTTACTCCTTAAACTTTATACAAATGTTTTAAATAAGAAAAATAAAATGGGGATGTTGAAGTAAATGAACACATCTTTCACAGAAAAAGAAATCCACAAAAAAGAAATTAATAGAAATATAATGGCACTGGGGCGAGGTGTGGTGGCTCATGCCTGTAATCTCAGAACTTTGGGAGGGTGAGGAGGGTGGATCACCTGAGGTCAGGTGTTCCAGACTAGCCTGGCCAAAACGGTGAAACCCTATCTTTACTAAAAATATAAAAAAATTAGCCGGGTGCTGTGGCATACACCTGTATTCCCAGCTACTCAGGAGGCGGAGGCAGGAGAATCACTTGAACCCAGGAGGTGGAGGTTGCAGTGAGCCAAGATCATGCCCTTGCACTCCAGTCTGGGAGACAGAGCAAGACTCCGTCTCAAAAGAAAAGAAATGTAATGGCCCTTAAACATATGAAAAGACACTTGACTTCTCTCATAATATGAAAAGTTCAAATTTAAAACTACACCAGAATTTTTTTTCCACCTATCAGTTTGGCAAACATCCGGAAGTTTGATACCACACTCCATTGTGAAGCCTGTAGAGAAAAGAGTCACTCTTACACATTACTAATGGAACTGCAAATTGGTACAACCCTTATTAGTTGGGTAGGGGCTGCCACAACAAAATATCACAGACCGAGTGGCTTAAACAACAGAAAGTTATTTTCTCACCATTCTGCCAGCCAGAAGTCTGAGATCAAGGTGTTGGCAGGACTGGTTTCTTCTCATGCCTTTCTCCGTGGCTTATAGATGGACATCTCCTCTATGTGTCTTCACTTAGTCTTCCCTGTTTACGTGTCTGTGCCCTAATCTCTTTTTATTTTATTTTATTTTTAATTGCATTTTAGGTTTTGGGGTACATGTGACGAACATGCAAGATTGCTGCATAGGTACACACATGGCAGTGTGGTTTGCTGCCTTCCGTCCCCTCACCTGTGTCTGTCATTTCTCCCCATGCTATCTCTTCCCACCTCCCCACCCCCCGCCCCTCCCCCATTTCCCCCCAATGGACCCCAGTGTGTAGTGCTCCCCTCCCTGTGTCCATGTGTTCTCACTGTTCAACACCCGCCTATGCGTGAGAATATACGGTGTTTGATTTTCTGCTCTTGTGTCAGTTTGCTGAGAATGATGGTTTCCAGGTTCATCCATGTCCCTACAAAGGACGTGAACTCATCGATTTTGATGGTTGCATAATATTCCATGGTGTATATGTACCACATTTTCCCTATCCAGTCTATCATCGTTGGGCATTTGGGTTGGTTCCAGGTCTTTGCTATTGTAAACAGTGCTGCAATGAACATTCGTGTGCACGTGTCCTTGTAGTAGAATGATTTATAATCCTTTGGATATATACCCAGTAATGGGATTGCTGAGTCAAATGGGATTTCTATTTTTAGGTCCTTGAGGAATCGCCACACTGTCTTCCACAATGGTTGAATTAATTTACATTCCCACCAACAGTGTAAAAGTGTTCCTATTTCTCCACATCCTCTCCAGCATCTGTTGTTTCCCGCTAATCTCGTTTTATAAGGACAACAGTCAAATTGGATTACGACCTACACTAATGACCTTATTTCAACTTAATTACTTCTTTAAAGACCCCATCTCGAAATGCAGCCACATTCTGAGTTACTAGGGCTTAGGACTTCAACACAAGAATTTTATGGGTCACGATTCAACCCATAATAACCCTTATAGAAGGAAACCTAGAATAGCTATCATGACTACCAATTCATTATCCTTGCCCAGCAACTGTTCTTCTGGAAATCTATCCTACAGAGATACCTGCACACATATAAATTGACATATGTATGAAGATATTCATTTCAGTCTTGTTGAGGCTGAAATATTAATTTCAGACTGGTTGAGTGAACTTTGGTTCATCTACACAGTACAAAATTATGCATCTGTGAAAAGAAATGAGGAAGTTCTCCATGCACAGGTAAAGGGGGATCTCCACGATATATGAGGAAAAAGAATGCACAAAACAGTGTAATAATAGTGTGCTACCCACATAGGATATAAACATTTGTATTTGCTTCTATAAAATTTGCATAAGCAAACACTGAAGGGTGAACAACTACAGCAAAACGTAAATAAAATTGGTTACCAAGCGGGATCAGCTGTGCAAATCTCTAGACGATGACGGTGTTCTTCAAAACACTGCGAAATCATTGGAAGAAAACTACACCTGGGCTCTGCCTGCTGACCTGGGAGGCCATTGGCTCTATGGAAAACACTGTGATGACATACTAAGGAGAGCAGCTGGTCAAGAAGCTCAGGTGTTTGGCAATCAACACATTCCTCCCAACGCACAAGTGAAAAAGGCAAGTGTTTTTCTCAATCCCGCAGCTTGCAAAGGCAAAGCCAGGACTCTATTTTTTAAAAAATGCTGCCCTGATTTTATATTTATCTGGCATGGATGTGACTACTGTTAAGATAGATTGTGACGGACAAGCCAAGAAACTCCTGGAACTGATGGAAGACACAGATGTGATCATTGTTGCAGGAGATAGGACACTGCAGGAGGTTGTTACTGGAGTTCTTGGATGAACAGTGAGGCTACCTTCAGTTAGATTCCCATTGGATTTATCCCACCGGGAGAGACGAGTAGTTTGAGTCATACCCTCTTTGCCAAAAGTGGAAACAAAGTCCAACATATTACTGATGCTACACTTGCCATTGTGAAAGGACAGTTCTACTTGATGTCTTGCAGATCAAGGGTGAAAAGGAACAGCCTGTGTTTGCAACAATCAGCCTTCAACGGGAATCCTTCAGAGATGCTGGCATCAAAGCTAACAAATATTCGTATTTTGGGCCCTAGAAATCAAAGTAGCCCGCTTTTTCAGCAGTCTTACGGAGTGGCCTCAGACTCATTAAGCCTCTATCTCATACACAGGACCTACAGAGAGATCTCCCAGTGAAACAGAGGAGACCCCTGTCCAAAGACCTTCTTTATAGAGGAGAATATTACAAACGCTTGCATCCTACTGGGCACAACCACAGGATGCCCTTTACCAAGAGGTGAGCCCAGAGGTCTGGAAAGATGTGCAACTGTCCATTGTTGAACTATTCATCACGACATAGAACAATCAGCTTGACCCGACAAGCAAAGATGATTTTATGAATATGTGCATTGAACCTGACACCATCAGTGAAACCCCAAGCTGCACGCTAAGGCACAGAGTGTCTCCAAGCCAGCCACTGCACTTTGATTGTCCCGGAGGGAGGAGTTCTTTTAGCACTGACAGTGAGGAGTATGAAGCGATGCCTATGGAGGTGAAACTGCTCCCTAGGAAGCTGCAGTTCTTCTGTGATCCTAGGAAGAGAGAGCAGATGCTGCTGTCTACGGCCATACCACCCTGAACGCGCCCGATCTCGTCTGATCTCGGAAGCTAAGCAGGGTCGGGCCTGGTTAGTATTTGGATGGGAGAGAGCAGATGCTGGCAAGCCCCACTCAGTGAGCAGGCAGAAGGCCAGTGCTCCGAGACCACACTTTAGGCCACAGGTGGGACCAAAACAGAACAGGTGCCTCAACCATCCCAACAGTGTTGACAGAAGGTCCCAAGGGCATTTTCATGGCAAGTATGTCTCTGCCCCCCTCCAGTAGTGACTCCCAAAGTGTGCTCTGTCACCTGCTTTGCAATCAGCTTCCGTTAGCGCATGTTTTGTTTTGGTGTGACGACCCTCCTAAACACGAACTTTCCTCAGGCTAGTTCAAGACGGAAAAGGACTTTCTTCTGTTTTCTCCAAAAGTGCGACCACCGTGGAGAGCCCACAGTGGGCTTAGCCTGCCTAAGCCCTTCCATTTCCGTTATGTTCTTTGACCGTGCTAGGAATTCTGGTGAAAGTGCCTTCCTTCCCCGGTGACCTTTACCTATTTCTAGGCTCGTCTACGGGTGCTGCTATTTTGTGAGCTCTGGCTTATGGTGTGCTTTTATTTCAGTTCTATCCTCAGTCCAGAAATGCATGTGAGGTTTTTTTTCCCTCTTCAGCCATGGCTGCAATGCTGTAAAATGCTAGTTTTTATTTTTTTAAGTTGTGCTTCCTAAATGGATTGCATGAGAGTCAACTGGGGTGCGTGTTGAAAATTGATTTATTTGGGGTCCACCTCAAACCTTATAACCCAATTTGGGGATGGGGCCCAGGAATCTGCATTAAAAGATGTTGGCCACCCTTCCCAGCTGATTCTGTAAGTTGTCCCTCAACTATACTTGGAGAAATAGTGCTTTTAAGCAGTAGTCCACAAAGTATTCTGCTTATGCACTCCCTACAAGTATTTTGAAAAATCATATATCCCCTCACCCATCTGAGTTGACATCTAAAATTTTTCATGAGAATTTAAATAGTTGACAAAGTATGTATTTGCTGGTGTCGTGTAAAGATTGGTATTTTAAAATAAAAACTGTTTCATCACTATGTTAAACATATCCAGCACAATTTAAATATCATAACAGTTTGATACCCTTCATTCATTTGTAAAAATAAACGGGCTAGTTCTTTAGTAGTTGAACATTTTAAATTGGCTTTTCTCCTTCTGTATTTTCACACCACTTTCAGCTAAGAATCCTATCATAATATAATCTAATGTAATCTATTGTGCCTGACATCTTTTAATCATTCACCCCATTATCTTCTTGTCAACAAAAAATATACATGGAAATAAGTTTTTTAGTTCTTGCTTTAAGTGTTTTCTCAGTCCAGAACAAATGATATCCTAGTTATTGGTATATAATGAAAACGATATTAATATAATTATTTGACAATTAAAAATGGTTGTATTAGAATGTTCTTTATCCTAATTAGTTCATTTATCCAAGAATACATGAATGTTATTCTTGTTGAGCTGAGATGGAGTTCAACTTCAGTTGTATTCCTTGTTTCATTTCTTTATACATATAAGCACATAAATTCTATGGGAATAGAAAGAAAAAAATTGGTTACCAATAGGGGTGTACTGGGGACACAGAAAAGTGGGAACAGGACTGGAAGTGAAGTTTTCCATATACCTTTATATATAGTTTTTATTTCTAAAAACATGTAAATTCAGATAACTAAAATTATATATATAATTTTATATTATACATGTTTATAGATTATATGTAATTAGATATTACATATATAATTATAAATATATATGTATATATGCTTCCTAGCTCGGCCATGAAATTTTGAGTACAATTTGAGATTAACTCTAATCTTTTTACTTTTGAGAATGGTTATTCTCGTGTGTTAAAGCTTCATCTAGGGTTTTCAAATTGTGCCCTTGTGTAATAAAGAAAATCCCCAGGGACTGCAAATGCTTGCTTTTTAAAATATTTTTCTTTGAAGAAAGGAACTGAGTTTAAGAGGGCTAGAGGAAGTCCAGTTGGATTTGATATTGACCAAACAGGAGTCTGCCCAGATGTTATTGATCCCCTGCACTCGGCAGCACAAACGCCCTTGGGTGTGCGTTACTTCAAGCAAACGGAAGTGTGCCCCGCTGAGAGTGGGGATGCCTGGCTGGGGGTGGGGGGACTCAAATGCACCACATCCAGCTGGGAGTGAAATTCCTGGAGAAAGCACCCACAGCACTCTGAGCCTGCTTGCAGCCCAACGGCCTCGCTGAGAATGCTACATTTAAAAGTGCAGTTTTTGGATGATTCCCAGAAGATTTTTGTGGTTGATGTAAGTGGAAATCACATTGCTATTATTCCTTTATTATTCATTCAATAACGGTCATTTGGTGACAGCCCATTAGCCAGCGATGTTATGTCTTCTTTAGGACCAAATGAAGAGGGACCGTGGTTTTTTAGCTTTGGAAAAATAGTATTTAGCATCACAATGTAGCTCATATTTTCCCATTAACATTTCTCTTAGAACAAGTTGTCTTTTCTCAAGGGATAACAATAGCAAATTTTAAAGACAGAATAACTATTTGCAAAAAGTATGGCAGCAATAAACTAGTTCTTTTACCTAGTAAGGTATTATTGTTCATTGAAATTATGTCTGTGGGTCTTACCCCATGAGCATTTGTGGGGAGAAAACTGTTGTTCTGAGGCAAAGGAGTCGGGGAAACTATCTTCCTTTTCTGAAGAAAACCTATGGGTTATGAGGGGTAGAATTATGTAGTTATAATGAGAACTTCAGGAAGTAATGACAAGTATGAGGGAGAAAAATAGGATAAGAGACTATTTAGTTTGATTTAGTACTTATAGTTCAGAGTTCTTAATATAATTCCTAGCTACAAGATGATTGCATACGATTATGTCTCATCTCTTCAAGAAAGAACAAATTGTATTAAGCACATCATTTGGTGCTCATGTTCCAACATCTTAAGATACGTACATTTTGATGTCAGGATTTATGTATGAGCATTTTGAAAAGTTCTATGTTTTTATTGGAACCAAAATGCTATTTGCTCTGATATTTACATTAGCTACTAACAAGAGACAAATAGTTCACTATCTTTGAAATTCATACAAAATGTTGGTTGTTTTCTTTTATACATAAACTGACAACTGCTGTAGCTCAGCCACGATGTTGGGTGTGTGGGTAGCCCATTTTTCCAATGAGTATTTTGTTTTTATTTGAATCATGTGCTTGGGAGTGATGACTTCATGTCTTCGGCTGTTTTGCTGTCTCTTCCTTTCAGTTTTATGTGCAAAAGGCATTTCTAGGTCCACGGACCTGAATGACTTGTTTTTGTAGCAAATAGCTTCCATTAGAGGTATGAGGCATTTCCTATTCTTTCTTGGAACTATATTTAAGGGGTGGAAAATATCTTCTGAGTAGTTTATCCATTTGCAGGCTGGTGGTGTATTAGTGAGCTGAGTATTCAAAAGATACTGCTTTAGGCTAAGTTTTTAATAGGTATTTCAAGGAACTCAAAGAGAAATCTTTGACAAAAAGTGACAGAAGAGTTTTTTGAATGTGTAGTCTAATTTAGATCCAGTTAAATGGGGTGGGGGGTGGATGCGGAGCACAGTATCATATCTTCACAAAATTCACCTATGGAAGAGCTAGTTCCAGCAACTTGAAGCCAGCATGATTTGGCTTCAAGTCAAATTGTCTCTTTCCAGCTGCAGCAACACATTGTGTTCCCTGCAAAGATAATGGGAGAGATTTGATACCCAGCAATTCGGGTGTCAAAGCATCTGATCCCTTTTGCTCTGTGGAAGACTGTTTTGCAAGTAGCAATTGTGGTGTTACCCGGAGTGGCAACAGCACTGGCTGCAGTACTGTGAGTGGCTTTGTCCTGAGGAGTTAGAAGCTTAAGTTAGCATTCAATCATCTAATGGTACCTTCTCTGCTTAACAATAGTAGATTGATGACGATGATGATGATAGTGATGATGATGATAGTGATAATGATGATGATGATGATGATGATGATGATAGCAGTAATGAGTTATCTGTGGATAGCACTTTAAAATTTACAAAGCACTTTCACATCCATTAGTTCATTTGATCCTCCCATTCCACCTTGTGAGTGAAGATAGAAAAAAAGATCTTTTCCCATTTTGTAAGTTAAAAGATGGGGGCTCAAGGAACCTAAGTGACGTGTGCATGATCACACAGCATATAATGGCAGAGCTGGGACTTCCAATGCAGAACTCTCCCGTCTCCTTTATATACAATTGTAACCAGAAGACTCATCTGTCAGTAGCCTTCAGTATTGCCCATGCACATTATTTATTTTCTGATCCCCTGAAAAGGCATAGAGCTTGGCACACAGTGAACTTTTGATGACTATTGTGAACCAGTTAGTAGATCCTTCTTTTTTTAACCATGGTTGAAGAATTAGGTGGGACAGTGATCCCTCGAGGTCAGGGAGACAATGGTGTGATTTTTTTCATCTATTCAAACACTTAAAAAGCAACCTAAAGAATGCTCTATTTTATTAGTACTAACATTCCAAATCGGATTTTAAAAATCCTCAGAACCGTAATGAAGAGAACCCATTAATAGCTGAGGAAGGCTACATGGAGGTCCTTTTGATACTAAACTGAAGTCTCAAGTGGCATGGCTCATACCCAGGGAAAGCTGTTCTTCAAGATAAGATTCAAGAAAATAATTGGCTGCATAAGGGAAAATAGTGGATTCTTGGGCACTGGTATTGATTGTACAGAAAGTGCAGTGGTAGAAACATAAAAAGGACACATGATCAGATAAAATAATGTCACCTGGAGAAAGCTCATTGACATCCAGAATTCTCCCTCCACCCCCAGTAGTATTATCTTGCTGAATTTGCCAGTGTCTGAGATCTAACTCAGGACTACAGATTAAGAAGCATGTTTGGTCATTACTCCACAAAAACTGGAGTCAGAAACTGACATTTAAAATTCAAATGCTGGTGTCACCATTTACAGCAGGATTGGGGACACTGGGGTCCTCTCATCATTTATATGCCAAATTATGTCAGAAGAGCCAGATCTGGAAATATTGGATATATGATCCTAATACTCGATGGCATGGTAATGCATCCATGACCACAGAGGCCATGGCATTGAGACCGTTTAGTCACGTATTCATTAATTAAGCCATTTACTTAAAAAATTATTACTGAGGCCAGCCGGATGCAGTGGCTCATGCCTGTAATCCCAGCACTTTGGGGAGGCTGAGGTGGCTGGATACAAGGTCAAGAGATCAAGACCAACCTGGCCAACATGGTGAAACCCCGTCTCTACTAAAAATACAAATATTAGCAGGGCATGGTGGTGTGTGCCTGTAATCCCAGCTACTCAAGAGGCTGAGGCAGGAGAATCGCTCAAACCAGGAAGTCAGAGGTTGCACTGAGCCGAGATCGCACCCCTGCAATCCAGCAACAGAGCAAGATTCTGTCTCAAAAAAAAAAAAAAATATTATTGAGGACCTAATATATCCCAGGCCCTGTTCTGGGAACAGTAGACTCTGCTGTATTGGTAGGTAACGTTCATAAGCAAGAGCACACTCTGGTCTGAATAATACTGCCTGGACACTACCAACTTTGGCCTTGGTTATTCCTTGGTTATTCCTTTTTCTCTCATTGCATGATTGACAACTACACTTTCTGATCATTCTACTGTTTTTAACTTGTTAATATGTTCAATTATTTTATTAGAA